AAAAAAACCAAATACGTTCGATTATGTCAAATCCATTTATTAGAGAGAGGCAAAAAAAGGAAGTTAGCTTTGACAGCAAGTATGCCAGAGTTGCCAGTAGTTTGTAATAAACAAGTACATAAGAGATGCCAGATAGGCGCGAACACGCGTAACTGATATTCTTTTGACAAAAATTGGATTTTCTCACACAAGCTCTTGGCTCAAGCCTTATCCATTCGTCCTGAAATATACTATCCAGAAATGCGATTGCTTTATAAAAAAGAGAACCATTTTGAAATATGAGTGTTTTTACTCTCTAGAAAATAGTTTTTGCAACCTCACATACGCGGTTTGGAGTGCAATGGGGTATGGAGTGCAATGGGGTATAGTCATTGCGCTGGGTATGCAGTTACAGTTGCATGGCTATACTCAATCCCGACTCTTGCGTCCTCGTTCGCGCACTCTGGGCAACGTGAGCAACCCATATGCGAGATGCGGTAACCAATCCGAGTGGAGCCTTGGGTCACGGCAGAAAGAGAGGGAGCTTCGGTGGGGCCACTCTGACTTATTCGGTTTAAGGGCTCACTGAAGTCTGCAGCGTCTGTTCACCAGTAGGTGCGGCTGCAAGCGTGTGTCTGTGTGGAGCAAACGGCTCGCTATATAAACGTGTATTTGGTTGCGAAACCACCCCCGTCCCTGCATTAGGTTGTGCGCTGGGCTTGAGACCCGCCACGTAAAAACCACTTCCAGTGAAGAAGCAAGGCAAAGCCTCGGATGAGACCCCCCCTTATGATGACGACCACGGCAAACGTTTAAAGGACTACGATTTGAGGGCATGCACCTGGAATGTCCGGACCCTTAATGGGGAAGGTGCCTCTGCCCGGCTGGTTGATGTCCTCGTAAGGACAAAAGCTGACATCACCGCCATCCAAGAAATGCGTTGGACGGGGCAAGGCAAACAATGTCTGGGGCCTTGCGACGTCTACTACAGCTGCCATGTAAAGGAGCGCAAATTCGGAGTTGGATTTGTGGTGGGAGAGAGACTCCGTCGCCGAGTACTGTCGTTCACCCCGGTGGACGAGCGTCTAGCCACAATCCGCATCAAAGCGAGATTCTTCAACATCTCGCTCATCTGCGCCCATGCCCCGACGGAAGAGAAGGATGAGGCATCCAAGGATCTCTTCTATGAGCGCTTGGAGCGCACGTACGAGCGCTGCCCCCGTCATGATATCAAAATCGTGCTTGGCGACTTCAATGCCAGGGTGGGCAAAGAAGGGATCTTTGGAACCACCGTCGGAAAATTCAGCCTCCACGACGAAACGTCCGACAACGGATTGAGGCTGATCGACTTCGCCGGGGCCCGAAACATGGTAGTATGCAGTACTAGGTTCAAGCATAAAAAGATCCATCAAGCTACCTGGCTGTCTCCGGATCGAAAAACGAGAAACCAAATCGATCATGTTGTGATAGACGGAAGGCACGCTTCCAGTGTTTTAGACGTACGCACACTCCGAGGCCCAAACATCGACTCGGACCACTATCTTGTTGCAGCCAAGATACGCACCCGCCTATGTGCAGCAAAAAATGTGCGCCCAAATATGCAAGGAAAGCTTAACGTCGAAAAGCTGCAATCACAACAGACAGCCAGCGCTTTCGCTACTCGACTCTCACACCTGCTCTCAGAGAGCACACTTCAACAAACCGACATATGCGAGCAGTGGAACCACATTTCCCCCCTATTAAGTACCGCCGCCGAAGAAGTAGTCGGATTTCAGCGAGCCCGAAAGAACAACTGGTACGATGAGGAGTGTCAGGAAGCTGCAGAGAAAAAAGATGCCGCCTACAGGGCCACGCTGCGATCGGGCGCAACGCGCGCTATGTGGGACCGCTATAGGGATCTGAAGAGGGAAGCGAGACGTATTTGCCGCAACAAGAAGAGAGAGGCAGAAGTACGTGAGTGCGAAGAGCTTGAAATGCTGGCCGACAGGAGGAATGCCCGAAAATTGTACCAGAGAGTTAGGCGACTTACGGAAGGTTTAAAGACCGGGGCGCACTCCTGTAAGAACAATAATGGCGACCTAGTAACTGATGTCCAGAGCGTACTTAAATTATGGAGGGAACACTTTTCCGCCCTACTAAATGGTAGCAGCACGGAAAGTTGTGGAGAAGAAGAACCCGAGCCCGCAGTCGATGATGACGGAGTCGACGTTCCACCGCCTGACTATGACGAGGTACGTATAGCAATAACGCGGCTGAAAAACAACAAAGCCGCTGGAGCTGACAGCCTGCCAGCTGAGCTATTCAAGTACGGCGGCGAGGAGTTGATAAGGTGCATGCATCAACTCTTGTGCAGAATATGGTCAGATGAACGCATGCCCGACGACTGGAATTTAAGTGTGCTCTGCCCAATCCACAAGAAAGGTGACCCCGCCATTCGCGCCAACTACCGCGGGATCAGCCTTCTAAGCATAGGTTACAAGGTATTATCGAGCGTATTGTGTGAAAGACTGAAGCCCACCATCGATGAACTGATTGGGCCTTATCAGTGTGGCTTTAGACCTGGCAAATCCACCATAGACCAGGTATTCACAATACGCCAAATCTTGGAAAAGACCCGCGAGAAAAGGATCGACACTCACCACCTAT